TAAGGCTCTATGTGACCTTGTTTTATGTCAAACGTATAGCTTATAAAAAGGTGACATAACAATGGTATAAAATATGTATAATATAAGATTATAGTATACTATATCGTCCTTGACTTATGCCTGATAATGAAATCAATTTAGACACTGATCATATAATAATAGGATGTTTTTGCTCGTTCTGTACCGGTAACGCAACATTGTTCGGCACGGCCAACAGATGTTAATATCCATCAGATCTAATAAAATATTACTAATAAATTTTGATCATTAATCAATTTACGCATAAAGTGCTTTTTTGTTTGAAATTAAAAAAGGGTGAGGAGTCCCTATAAAAGAGTTCAACGCACGTTTCCGCATTGTTTAAACTCGGTGGACCGATTACAGGATATTACTCGTCGTCACTTTAATGGGCTTGTAACTTTAACCTTAGTTGAATTATAAATATTATAGACTTATGATTGCTTCGGCTACGTAACTAATGTGACACTATCACGTACCGGTTTCGCTAAATTTACTTAAAGTAGGTCAATTGTTAATGAAATAAATTCATTAAAAGTTTATTATTTTTATAGATATTTTGAAATGTTTTTTTTTTAATTAAACACGTATTATTTACACATATTTCAAAAGTTAGCAAAAATGCATTATGCAAACATGATTTTGTAAACGTATGAAGTATATATTATATGTATGTACTTATGGGTGGGTATGGGTCGCTATGGAAAAATAGGAAAGTTTTTATGTCTGAATGATTTCCAAAAGCAATGACGTGTCTCGCCCACATCTCATGTCGCTGACATTCAGAGAAGCGAGAATCAGTATGCAAATAATATTGGAAACAGACCTTTTAAATACTAAAAGTCTCCCTCGACGACAGCTATGTAGGGCAGTGTAATGACGTATGCCGGAAAGAAATCACAACAATAACACTTTCATACACTCACTACACTCTATTTAACACTTGGATAAGGTCTCAACTGGTCTTGTAACTAAAGAGCAGAGAGGCGCTGACAAGTATTATAAATAAGTATTAATATATGGTAGCACGTATGCGAAGGAATAAACGACGAAACTGCATTTTGAACGGCGAGATGACGCCTCGTTCCGATGCGACTGCGGCACGAATGTCAGCCGCCAGTAGTTGCGCGGGCGCTGAGCCCGCGCCCTGCCTTGTGACGTCATGCAGGTATTCAAAATGGCGGAATGGAATTTGAGTGCCTATGTACTGTCAACATTTACAATATTTTTTTTGTATTATTTATTTTACTATTTCCTCCATTCATTTGATATTTACGTTTTTGATATTATTATTATATATTTATTCATTTGTTAAAAGCATCCTTACAAATATTTTACTATAGATTTTAAAAATATAAATTTTCATATTCGTCCTTTTTTATAAATTAAACGTATTTCAAAAATATAGATGGTACATTTATAAGGAAACGTAAAAGAAATAAATTTATAAAAGATTTATTTATAACATGCTGTCTGTACGAAGCCCCTTTCACTGACACGAACGAGATAGTCAGATACGTATTCGTTCCAATGAATGAATGGCTGGTAATAGAAAGGGACAGACAAGATGTGGACAGCCTTCGAAATAAGTTAATTTCAACTTTTACCCTAGGACCGTCTTGTCACAATCCGGGCAGATTTCTCGTAATTTCAAAAAGCTTTAATGTCATAACTTATCTTGTAAAATCGCAGGGCACACCATATATAGAACATGGTAATTATTAATTGTGTCCGAACGCTTTAATAACTTTATTTTTATTACTAATGTATAATTATAACGAACGAATACAGATTTATCAATTATAATTCTGATAATAAATTATTAACGGATTTAAAGTAGGTGCATGCAAGGTCATGATATTCTAAGTTGTTGTTACATACACGTTTTGTGATATTTGCAGACAACTGATCTGATATAATATGTTATTCATACATAACACACATTATGTGGTTTCACAAAATGATGAAAGATTTTTTGTGTATACTTCTGAATTCTAAGTAAAGACCTTAAAGATAATTCCAATTAAAAAGCTCTTAGTTCGTTATAACTGACTAACCATAAGCCAATTAAGTTTTTTTTTCATTTTTTTCTATCATTTATTATTGCGATACCATCTGCTTCTGGGGCTTATAAGAAGACAAATGTATATGGCCTAGACATTAAAATAATAGCTTTTGTTCAGTCTAGACTTGCGAGAATGTATTGCAATGTAATTTATTTAGTCTTTTAGTCTCATTGATCAGTCAGTCATGTCGCAATAAAAAATGTAATAAGCATAGTACACGTCTGGTACCAAGAGCACTATGTATACACATATTGCTTCGCTGGTGCCATTAACATGAAGGTTATTTGCATTACTCATCAAGTTCCTTAGAGGATACGATCAAATGGATATTACCTACAGAAAAATCTTTTAAAACTGAGAAAAATAATCGAAGTTTATTCGTAATTATTTTTTTGTGTTCGAGGTGTTTAAGTCCTTATAAAGTATTAAAGTGCAAATGGTATAAACTAAAATGTTTACCATTTTCTTCAACACAGTTTTTTTAAAGAATATTTTGCGAAACATTATTTTGTTTCTCTAAGCTCTATCTAATGTTATTAACCTTAACTTTTCATTATGATATATAAACCGCAAAAATATTTATTTCGTCATCACTAAGTAGCTTGAAAATTAACGAATAAGCAACTTTTGTCATTTTAATTAACTATAAGAAAAAACGAAAGAATATCCGAACAAATAGTTTTATTTAAAGTATCCAATATTCGCGTAAATCTAAGAGAGTATATAGTAAGAGTAGACTATATTATAACCATTGACCCTTAGTATTTTCAACCGACTTCCTCAAAAAGGAGGTGGTTCTCAATTCGCCTCCAATCCGCCTTCAATTTTTTTATGTGTTACCTCAGAACTCCGTCATTTATTAACCGATTTGGACAATTTTTGTTTTGTTTGAAAGTGTATACATCCAGATTGGTCCCATTTAAATTTCAAAAAAAAAAATACCACCCCTAAGGGTGGAAAAATGGCTAATGATGAATTTAACCTACTTCTAATTGTCATATTCACTTGAAACTTTGCAAGTGTTTCTATTTCCGTTGATAGTACAGTGGTTTGGTATTGCTGACTTGTACTGATGGTAAGGCCAGAAGGTGGATAGGTGGAACTCTTCAACGACTAATAGTAGATACTTTGAGTTTGGGCTTATTTTGTTTGATTTGACGAGCCTAACACGTTAGAATTCTTACTTTGCCACGACTTTCTACACTAAAAAGGGAAAAAATAAAAACTTTTTAACAAAAAAATAAAAACCGACTTCAAACAAAAGCACTAAGAAGTAAAAAATAACTGAGTTTTCATTTACTACACATATGCTTTGCTTTGTATGGGCTGGCACCGATTTCGAAAATATTTGATTAGGTATGTATAGTAAATGAAAACTACCAATCAGTTATTTTTTACTTTTTAGTGCTTTTGTCGATTAAGTCGATTTTTATTTTTTTGATAAAGAGTTTTTATTTTCTATAGTGTTAGTGTGTTAGTATTTCGGTGATAAAAATAAGTATTTATTCATCAAAACATGTCCAGCTTAAAATGAGCTTTCACACGAGCACTTAATAAATTATCTTCTTTAAATATTTATTGTCACTTGCATGGTCTGCGGCTCTCTCATACAATCAAAAGTGGAATCATTATTTGGCTTACAATGCGTGTAGTCGTACCAAAATTACACGCTTCACGTAGAAAAAGCATACTTTCTTTTATAGTTTTCTAAAATCGTGAACATCTGAATGTTATGTTATGTCACATATTACATAAATAAACGATTTGTATGTCACAATTGTTCTGCTCAAAACGTTGAATAAAATTATGTTATATAAATTACGAAATGCTAAATATTAATTTATCTGTGGAATATTTTTTACATAGAAATTATTTCATAAATAAGTACACCATGTTAGATCAGATTAGTTTTTTCTCTATGGCTTTTTGTATGTTCTTACATACAAAAATAAACCATAACCATCAAATATAAAACCCGCCTCACGTATAAGCAGAATAGCTCCTCAAAATGCAATTTGAGCTTACAAGTTCTACTGTTCGCAGAACTACTAATATTAATAATATTCTAGATTAATTGTATTTATGAGATAACTTTAAGATGCTTTTTCCAGATGAAAAAAAAATGTATTTTTCTAAGATCTTTCTAAAATTTAATTTATTTGGCAGGTCAATGAAAAGAATAAGTAAAGGCGCGCAGAGCGTTCCTAACGTTGCAATGTATTTGTGTTTGCTGGAGCATTACCGAGAACAAGTTTGAGCAAGTGATGGCTTGTAGCAAATACAAGTATCTCTAGTATATTTTTTATTAACCAACTAACTTTTAAGAATGAAGCCCGTTGCTAAAATAATAAGCACATTATGTACAAATGTATTTATAATTATGAAACCAAATGTAAAGTTGCAGTTTGATAGTGCAATAACATTTTTGTATCAACTGTTACGCTTTGAACCCATTGACAAAAAATTAAATTGAATTTTTTTCTGAATTACGCTACTATTGAATTAAATTAGTGCGAAAGTTTGTATGTGTATGTACATATATTTATTACACCATTTGCCTGAATGGATTTGGATAAAAGTAAGTAAGTAAGAGATAGACTATGATAATTACCTCGGTAATTATTAGATTACCTGAAGTAATACTTGTTTATAGGCTACAGTTAGTAATAAAATTTGAAACTATTTGATCAGGAACATCCCACAAAATAATCTTCTAGATACGGATAGTGGGTTACATTTATGCGAATTTCGATGTCTGCACCTACTGTATAGTGTACGATGTAGAGTATATTTTACGTTTACTCCCACAGTTTATGTACTTATTTGACTCTAAAACAACTATATCGCTTAGAATATACATATATTCCTATAAAAAAACGTCGTGATGAAACAGAAAAATCCAAAATATTTACTTACCCGGAACATGTTCATCGTTAAAAGTAACTCGGACAGAGTGCGGTCGCATTACGCGAGGCGTAAATGCTGCCATGTACTTGTGACCACCAAGCGGTCTCACCGAGCTCGCTACTAAAGTGCCGTTACCGCCAGAAACTTCTAACTCCAGTTGACCAGGTCCAGCGGTACTCGCATCCACTGAACAACAAAATAATTTATATTGCTTTCCAAATAAACACAATTTTGACAAAGAAATTAATGAAAATAATGACAATTTTAACTTATAAAGTAGTGAAAATAATGAAAATTCGTTAGTTTTTGGAAGTTAGAGATAATAATTTATGTAGTCTTCTTATTATGTGAGAGACAGTATTTTTACAAATTGTGCTGTTTTCGCATTGGTTAAATAGAATCAACATAGGCATGTGTAAAGAATGGATATTTTATTTTTCTACTCCAACAGAAAAAATCATATTTAGAGAAAGGGAGATATAGATGACAATTTTATAATATAAATGAAAAAAAAATAGAAAAAATATCTTACGATAATTAATATTACCTATAAATTCAACAGGTTGTCCTACCATTCCTTTGTAAGTTGGTTTTATGACTATTCCTTTTGAGCCTCTATTGTTATCCCTTTGAATTAGTCTAGAACAAGTAAGACATTCATTACAATAAAATCATATCTAGACATTATGAATTAAAACAAACAGTCGTTTGCCTTTATTCTAAGAAAATAGAATAAATTATGTTCAGATTTGATTTGTATACGGAATTTGTATTATTATGTCTGCCACTTTGTAAATAAAAGTTGTATTTAGGAGCCCTGCTCATTGCAATTATTATAAGTATATGCAATAAATGCAATTAATATAAATTTATTATATTTTCGAATATAAATTAAGATATTTCAATTGAACTTTTGCTTGACGCAGATGGGAAAAACTAAAATACTAATATATATATCATAATATAGATATAACTTTTACCAATATATTTAAAAATATCTGCACTTAAAATATAATAGAATATTTTTATAAGCTAAAAGTTCTACATCTAAAAGAATATATTATATTTTTTTAAATATAATATTTTCTTAGTTAAAAATTCTATAAGTATCTAAATGATAAATATTTTCGTTTATTTGTAGACTAATAATAATTTTTTTGAAATTTGAATATATATAAATGGTATAGTCTATTCATTAAAAGATAATAAATACAAATAATAATTGAAAATTATTTAACACTAAAATTTATAAATGATTACTAATTTAAATTAAAATAACATTCCTTCTTATTTGTTTTTGCACGTTTTCCTATAAAGACTAAGAAGAGTTATAAATAACGTCTATTTGAAAGTAGACCAATAGGGAATCTTAAACTCCAACAGCAGGTATGGATTGTAGAATTTATAACACTGGGACCGCGCGTTCCTTCGTTCAGGCGCTTTATATTTTCTTTATAGAGTTCTTATTTTATTCCTGGCGGTCGTTTCAATCTTGCATCAATTCCAATTTATTTATAAAGACAAAACAAATAACATTACAGAGCGACTTGTTCTCAGTATTTTCTTTGGGAAATCGAACATATGAGTTTATATAATGTTTCTATAACGAAGCTCCACTTGGGTTAGTATTGTACTTGTATTTACTTGTAGATATTTATAATTTTAAATAAAGGTAAATATTTAATATAATAAGTAGTTTGTCCCTATGTTCGTTGACATATCGCAATAAATAGTCATATATAGAACTCTCCTACCCATACAGCACGTAAATATGCAAAATATAAAAGTGCTTGTAGCGTACAAGTAACATACACTTTTCCATATTAATAATGCGATTTTAGAACATTGTGAAATTTACATTAAACATTCAAATTGATCAAGTGTGGTAGAGAAAAGCGTAAAGTTGAGACGCTTTAGACGGATTGATCTAGATTCGGCGTAGCGTCCCCTTCACCTACTATCAAGAGCGGTAGAGTAAGGGTGTATATTGTATACTATGATTACAATACTGTGATATTTTTAATTGCATTTTTTATATAATACAAATGCGTTTAAATTGATAGTTTATAATTTTAATAATATTATAAAAAAAAGAAAGAAGATGAATGAGTAAAAAAACGTTGTGGTTTACCTGAAACGGGTGTGTGCAGCATCCGTTTCAGTGCGGGCCCCCCCGATCGGGTCGCGGGAGGGCCTATTGGATAAAAAAGACTGCTGTTGTTGGTGTTTCTCTTCTACGCTACTGTATGATGAGTCTCGCACTACGTATGAGCTCTCTCGTACTTCGCGTTTTGTGATTTCTTGCTGTATATAAATATTTATATTAGAATATGAAATAATAAAGTTAAAATTATATTTTACAAAATGTATTACACTAATATATGTATTATTACAACATAAAAAAAAATGTAAATCGACTGACGAAAAACACGTTTTTCATACCAACTAACGCAAACAATATAAAAATTAAAGAACAATGCATTTAAATATGAATACCTACAATTTATTATTTTAATTATATCTACTTAAAACATAATTATACTATGTTTCGCTATGAAATAAATTTACTTTATCATGCGTTTAATATTCATATAAATAATAAATAAATTTTATTTTACATTTTATACACCAATCAAAAATACGTGAACTATGAAAATGTCAATTTCCACGACCACAATTTAAGCAAAAAAAAAGTAATTTACTTACACGACTCGTGTACGTATCCGAGTCTCGCTCGTCGACCATCCGGTCTAGGTGCCGATTAAGGGTATCGCGCGAGAAATCGCTGAACTTGTTCAACTGTGTGTTGCGGTGCGTTTCACGATCCAGAGTACTTTGTCCGTAGCGGTCGCTTGTTGAATCAATGCTATCCAAATACATATATTGTATATAAAATACAGAAGCTTTTATTATTTATAGTTCACGAATATTGATTTTGGGCTTTGTTACCTGTTATTGCTAAACATCTTTCTAGTAGTTTCCACAGTATCCCAGGAGTCGTTTCGTAAGCGATGCGGCTTTCCTCCTGGGTCACCTGTATCTGCAGAACCTGTTCATATAATAATAATTGATGACTATATTCGTGTATATAATATAAAATTTATTATTAACGTACAATATTAAAATAAGTAGCACATACTTGGGCTTCCATATCTTTTTATTCTATCAGTTTCCAACGACGAAAGTGGACTACTCTGATCAAGATTGTCTTGGGACCCACTGTACGAGCTGTACATCTTATAGTTTGACCGCTTTTCTACCACTCGCTTTGTTGTTGTAACGGGGCTGTAGCGATCGGTGGGACTACTAACACTATTATTAAAAGAAAATTATTTATCAATCAAAACGAATTGTGAAATGTATATATACAATATAGTCGAGCAACAATTGAGACAAAAAACAAAGTATAAATATCTCAAATTTCATTAATATTGTATTTGCGAATTATTCCACTATGCCATTGGAATTGCATGTTAGAAATATTTTTTTTAAATTGATATGTTTCTTCTGACAGGTCATAAATTTGCATCATTAAATTAATTCAACAATATTTATTATAGCAGAACATAAACTACGTCAAGTCCCTTTATTACGTACGCCAATCATCCTTTTGAAGTCTGATATGCGTAACGTATGTCTAAATATCACGTACCGATTAATTGGACTGGCTGTCCTATTCAAAGGACTATCTTTCCTCGTTAGCGGGCTCGTCCGACCGACCGGACTCGTCGCCCTGTATGGACTGCTAGCTCTGTATGGACTGCTCGACCTGGCAAAATCGAGACGTGAACCATTCCCCAGATGTTTCGATGTTATTGGGCTGGAAGTCCTATTCCTAGGACTTTCCGAATCGTACGTTTTATAATTCTCTCGTGTATTTAATCTTGAATTTGAAAACGAATCGGTAGCATCGTAACTTTTTTCTTTTATATCTGATCCAAACGAAGATTTGTAATAATCCGTCGAGTTTCGTCGCTCTTCTCGGCGATCTATTGAGCTCGTACCGTGCTTTGTATTCGTTTCATATAAATTGTAGTTATTGTGGGGACTTTCCGATCTCAATCTAGAGACTGAAAATAATAAAAGAAGGTGAAAAATTCGTTCAATAGAATTTCTTTACGAAATCTGTATCTATAAATAATGATATAACCTGGACTAGATATTCTAGCATACGCTGGCGACGGGCTTGCACTATCTCGTGGTTTTTTGGATCTTGGGCCTACTCGGAAGACGTGTGGTGATCCATGAACGTCATAGCCATTGAAGTAAATATATAGCTGGAATAAAAATGCATTTAATTTTATCTTTATATAATACTGATACAATAGTACATGACACATGGAAGTGTATTTAATTTTCTGCAGATAGTACTCGTAGCTGTAGGGTATTTTATGTTATAGGTGGGGAGTGACCTATCGTGTACAGTCCGATTATTGACAAAATTATTCATCTCGGAAGCATTAAAAATTATATTCACAATTATATTTAGTTAAAATGTCGTCCTAATACGAATATATGGTTTGATAATAAGTATAACGAAAAAAACTACAATAATTTTACCCTATGTTTTCCAGGTGCCTTAGGCATAAATGTAGCACGATATTTCGTCGGAGACAGTTTCTCTAATGCGCACATGACACTTCTCTTGTCATGAACAATATCTAATTGGAGGTCACCTTTGACTCCACAGCCGCTTGTGTCTAACTCAAATGAATGTGGCTTGAGTGGTTCTGCCCCTTCTAATGCACCTGAACTCAAACGTACTCCTGCTGGATCGAAAACTTCACAGGTAAATGGTCCGCCCTAAAATAGCGAGATAAAGATACAAAATTAGTATTGATTCAAAATAATTTAAAACTATGTTCCTTATAGTAAGGTATTGACAACGGTTTTTCATATGTATTCTATCAAGTCAACGATTAAGCCGGTGGTCACGTTTTAGATTTTCGCACGAGTTAACTTTTTGTCTAAATTTCCTCCTCTCCAAAATATTCTTATTTGAACTGAAGTAACATCTAAGTCGATAGAACTTTTAGTAAGTATAAGTATGACTCTCATAATGTAGATTAAAATATGATCTTAATAAACCTGGATATGTTCTCCCTTATAAGTTATAGCTATTGTCCAAACTCCAGCTTCATCAGGTTGGAAGGTGGCACTCGACGCTGTAGTTCCTGGAGCTGAAGGTGGGGGATGTCGAGCTTTTAAGGATACAGAACGCCCACTTGGTGAATGAGCAGTAACATCTACGTCTTCTCTTCTCGGTGCACCTACATAAAATAGAAGAACGCGTAGAATAGATAACATACTATAAAATTTATCATTTGTAATTAATTATAAATATGAATAAAAGTGTAAGCTTCAGTGTAAATTAAATAAACTTTTGTATAGCTTATTTAGTTTGTTTTTAGTTAGGGTGTCCGTTAAATAATATTAGATATTGACCTGTGGCGCTAACTAGTACTTCAACGATGCTGCCGGCTGCGCAAGGAGCCATACCTGGTGGTGGGACTGACACTAACCGAGGAAGAACTCTGAAGAAATATCTGCCATCAACCCTAAAAAGTTAGTAAATAAATATAATATGAATTTTCATGCACAAAAAATATAAAAATATTAAGCGAGATATATATATATATATATATATATATATATATATATATATATATATATAAGGCAGTGGTAGCCCAGTGGTAACGCGCTCGCTTGGGAAACCGAGTGAAGCGAGTTCAAAACCCGGGTCTCGCACCTCTGATATTTTCATGTGCGAATCATTTCCAACATGATTACCACTTGTCTTAACGGTGAAGGAAAACATCGTGAGGAAACCTGCATGTCTTAGAGAACTTAGCAAGTTTTCGAAAGACTTGTGAAGTCCGCCAACCCGCACTTGGCCAGCGTGGTGGACTATGGCCTGATCCCCCTCGTATTGAAGGGAGGCCCGTGCCCAGCAGTGGGACGTTAAAAAGGGCTGAATACAAGCGATATTGACAAGTGACAGTTGTTTGCTACTTGTCGAAAATCGTGAAGCGACTTTCTTAACACCTCTAGGTAAATTTCTAAGAAATTAATTAAATTTCTAAGTAATCTATTGTTAACTGTAACGCCGGGGGGCCGCCGCAGTCGTGGAGGGATTAAAATAATTAATTGTAAAATACTCTACATAGATATAATATGTAATATTTCTGCTTATATCTTTAACTATTATTCGTAATCTGTACTGAAGCATAACCATCTAAGATAAAATCGAATTTTATAATTACTGTTAACGATTCTCAATGTTTAATTTGCCGTGACTTTATCATGGTCATGAAGGTGTTGTTGCATTTTTATTATGTTTTTATGCCGTTTTTTAAATCTTCTGAGGCAAGTGATGAAATAATAACCATTCCTCTGCCTATGAGGAAATTCACATAAAACAGAAAAGTAAATCATTAATATTTAAATAATAGCAATATTGTCTATACATATGTAATAGTAGATTATAAATCAGGTACACATATAAACCTGTATAATATAGAGCGTGTAGCTCTAACTTATAGAATAGGTATTTGAAATTATATAGATACTAAGCTGCTAATTTTCAAATGTCCGTACACCTCTACCAATAATAGAGTAGTTGACACAACATTGCTTAACTAAAAAAGAAAAAAATGATATAAGGATAAAACATAAGAACTTATCATTTAAAACGGAACCTCCTGGACTAGAATATTATACGAGTATGTATGTTTCTCATTGTTTATTACGAATAATTACATACATTTATGTATAAGTCTACAATACCTGATATCATTAGCTGTAAGCACTATTTCATGCATGCCTGCGTGTTCAGGGACAAACTCGCCCGCGCCCTTAGAGTCCAATCTTAACCTGGATTCTTGTTCCAATGGATTGACTATTGACACTTTTACTTCTGACATAGACAGTTCATGTGATATGCTTTCTACTTTGATATAAGTCTGTAAAATATTAAATAACAAAACCATGAGTAACCCTAATAAACTAACTGACGCGACAGACCTCGTTCTGTACTATAAAATGTATAGCAGACCCGATTAGAAAAATGGTGATTAATATAATATTTGAATAAAAAAATAGCCAAATTAGTCCAGTTGTTCTCGAGTTTTGCGCTTAGCAACACATTTAGCTATTCATTTTTATTTATATACAAGATGTAATAGACTGGTAACTCCCTCTCCCCTCTCGCCCAGCTCTGGCAATATTATGTTTAACCTTTTCGAGTGAGTATACAATTACACTAAAGAATAACAAACGTATTATGTACTCGTATATTCGGTTCATTTATTTTTATGTAGATTATTATTGCTATTAAGAAAAATGTCCATAGCCTTTATTAAAGTATTCTTAAGCTTTATTATTATTTTAATTAATGATATAAAATAGCGCTTAAGGCTAAAAATCTACCAATATAATTAAATTATTATATGATTACTAACTGGTTCTCCAACTCTTCCTGATGTAGAGTCAAGAGCAACTCTTAGCATATCGTGTACAGGTGGCCGTGGTGGCACATTGCGGAATTGTGTAGCCCACGTCATCACACCCAGATGCTCCCCATCACTTTGGCTCATGTCTTTAGCTGAGACAACCGGCTGCACTCCTATAGTTAGAATATTAATATGTTTCAAAAAAATATGGTCCAAATTAAGAATAAAATTTACTGCAGGTCTTCTATCGGTCCATGTTTAAATCGTGTTGTTGTAGTTATTAATATGTATTGTAATATTATCCGCTAAAGACACATCGGTACATTTGCTCACTTTTATAAATTAATTTTCTTTGTAATTATAAACGCGAGTAAGCTATCAATACATATACTATATCAATATAGATACTTTGTAAAATGTGAGGACTATTACAGAACCTATATATGTACATATATAGTATCTACTTCAAATTGAGTAATGCGTAATGTTTATTAAAAATGCATGTATGTAGATAGGTGGATTCGCTTGTCTGTTACCCTTCTTCGAATTCACCAGATGTTTTATATATAGTTTATACCACTGAGTGCAGGTATAATTTTGAATATTATTATTATTACTAATTCAATAAACTCAACAATATAAAGATCGATAATTTGTTAAAAAGAGTGTTTAGAAACCAATCAAAGTCATATTTCAATGATGTGTCGACAAAATTCTCATATTTGTTATTTCAGTTTCTATTGAATGTAGATCACTGTTTATTTTTATACTGTGAAACACATATTCAGTACATAATATTTATTTACTTTAGAATATATTAATTATATTGTTTTATTATTTTTTTAAACAATATAACAATAGTACCCAGAGATAATATAATTTATTTAAACAAAGACCACTTTAAAATTGACTGATGGATATTATTTTATTGTTTATTATTCGGAAATATTCTATAGAATCATACCTGGATAAAGCGTCGTACATAATACCTTCTGTTAAAAGGTTAGCTTTATTGCAGTTCTGCTAAATGGCTAATTAGACGCGTATTTTTCCGCGAGTACAGTTTATATTTAGATCAAAGGGACACAGTGTTATGCTCTGTGCCGGCAATTTTCGGTGTAAATAACGATTTTTGGTGAAAATGGAGCATTAAACACTACACATTACACAATACATATATGTGATGATAATTGTAATTTTAGAAAAACCATTGATATATAAATAAAAGTCGCTAAGAATGACATTGTTATATTTGGATTATTATTCATTAACAACAAGACAAAAAGAGGGGTGATATTTATATTTATATCAATAATATGTTCGACGCGAGCGTCGAGGATATTTCTTTCAAATATATCTAGCCGATTTCTTTACGACGTGTTTTTGTAATTTTTAGTTAGTTTAATTGTTTAATTATACCTGCTCGTTTAATAGTACATTTTAAAATTCTATCAAAATATTACACTCAATGTTACCAGATATTGCCTTGTTCAGTTGTTTACGTTCTTGATTGGCATGGACCTGCGTTCAAGGGAGGATGTTGAAAATTGAAATGTAAACGCGGTTATTGTATTTTATATACAACCTCCTTTTATAACTATATACTATTTTATTAGTTAAAAATAAATCCCTACAGCTGTCATCGTTTTCACGCTCGGTCCTTTTATTTATACTTTTTGCTATGTTAGCTCATTTATAACTTATAATTCTATACTAGTTTTCATTAGGTTAGTTTTCATTAATATACCAATACGATAAGTAAATTATTTATCATTTATTCACCTAATTTTTTGCCGGCATCAATAGCCAGCTGACAATTTTCCTCCCATCGCGCTGGGTCTCGCCTGAGTCTACTCGGGGGCGGCGCGGGACCTCCCATCGATCTCACTAGCTCGTTGGCTACGCGACCGTCGTTCCAATCCGTCTGAAATACATTAAGTTTTCTTAGCTTTAGCCATTTTATATTACTTAAATTAGCTCTTCTTTATGGGAATACAAGATATTATTATTTGAAGTTTTTTAGTCTTCTTTTAATAAGGAGTCGTAATTGCTTCTAGTTGAAAGGGATATAAATGGCACATTTTTTTAACAATTACATTATTATCAAAACAAACAATGTCCCTTGCCAGTGTCCGTTTACAAAACAGTTTAAGCAGGCATATTATATACCGCCGCGTTATATCAATTCTTAGCCGTGTTCTTATAGTAACAGAAATTGATTGAGTATCAATAGAAACTCCTACGGACCTCTACGATTTGCAGCACCGATTGCCGGTGATTGTCTATTTTTCTAGCATCCTTAATTAAAATTAAAATGAAACTTAGCTATACTTTTTATCCAGATTACTATCTGCGTAGTAATGAGAAGTTATGTTTAAATCTGTTAAGCTATTTTCAAATGATAACACGCATTTACCCATACTGATAATTCGGCTTCTATTACATCTCTCAAACTCCAATTTATAAAAAAAAACCACTGTGAATCTTGGATATTCTTTCATTTATAATATAAACTCATGCTATAATAGCAATGACATTTAAATAAACATATATATTTTAGATATTATATGAGATAATGCTTAGATTTACAATATTTATTATTTAGACAATATTGATATAAAACCGTAAGAGCAGTAACACTTTAAAACTATCCAGAATAGCTGTGGTTACCATATGGGTTAACACTTAACTATTTGTATACTTTTATATATATTTCCAGTGTTACAAAAACAACACAATTAATCACCACAAAATTAAGCCAAACTCTCTAAGTGGTCTGACATTTTTATGATATGTAGTGTTATCATAAATTGTATTTTCTTTCTTTTTCCTAAAGCTGTGAATTGCTCTCCATTAGTTGTCTTATATAACAGCTTTGTTGTGCTGGTGTTGATTACTGATATTAGTTTGCATTCGAACTTCCCTCGTTACCGTTTATTAGAAATAATGCACAAGTTGTGTGGTTAGTCTACTGTAGGTCTACATCATACAACACGAAGCACCAGAACTCTAGTAATTACTGTTAGAATGGAGTTGTATTAAAATGTTAGTCATCCTTTATGTATTTCTGAGTCGTTTTATAACTAAACAAGTATATAGATAGCTATAGTTAAGTGTGCGTTATAGTTAAATCTGCGTTTTCCTGTTACACCTCTAAGTTTAACTATGAATAAATTCGTGCAATACCATAGTTATTGTTTATTGGTTAATCGAAGTGAATGATGAATATAACATATAATTTATCAACGGTCAACTGAGACTTGTCATTTGCGCAGGAGGAATTAAGGAGATAAACAAAAATATTGTCTTTTAACGGGAAATCCTAATAACTATTTTCGGTTCGACATGAGAAATTGGACCTTACGATCTGCCACCATAATTGCTAGATACTAACTAGCCTAATTACGCAGATATTATAACGAACTGAGTGTAGTTCAGTTCTTACTTACCGTAAAGTTAGTAATAGATCTTTCCAAACGAGAGTTGACCCAATCCAAAGTTGACTTTACACCTGTTGAATCTGGTTTCATGAAGTAGGACAGGTATGTCATACCAGATAATTCGTCTAGCCATGGCGAAGCTAAGTACTCAGGCTCCAACACCATCGGTACATCTAGTTCTCTGTGGGCAAGCTTCATAGCCCTTCTGCAATTTTCAATAGCTTCGTGGCGATCTGTAAACATTTTCACTGTGTTGAAAAAAAGGTTAAAGATTCATTTATAGAGATAGAATGTAATTTTCATTTAAAAAAATAAAGTATGATTTGAAAACGACTTAACAGGTTGAGAATTTCCTATAAAGGTACATACAGAATACATATACGTATTATGTATGTATAAAGTTATGAAACTAAATTTTAATACAATTAATATATAAAGATCACTTTAAAAGTAAATATTAAAATAAGTTAATACTAACTAAGTTCTTTCCAATTGGGGAAGATGCCGGGCTTGCAATAGTCGAGTAGAGCAGAAAGGAGCACACCGCTATTCCAGTCAGTAGTGAGATTTCCAACGCGACATTCTGGTAAAGCTGCTTGTAGCCATGATAACATAAGTTTTCTAAAACAATAACGTTTTCAACTATAGTATATTTTTATTTGTGATTTCTTATCTTTTTTTCCTCCGTAATCTATCAAGTATTATTTTTACATTACTTAATGAACAAAAAATTTTTTTATTTATTTAGCACGTTTTTTTATTTAAATTTGTCTTTGTACTATTAATCGTAATAATTCCTTTAGCATGTTTTCCTATGAAGGAACTTCGATTTCAATAACACTTTTTCTACAACAACGGGTGGAATTTTTCTAGCAATTTTGGAGATCTAACTTATTCTTAAAAAAATGGTTCACTATTGGCAAAGATATTTTATACAAAAAAGAGTTGCTCCTCTTAAATAGAAGTCGCAAAAAAATTTATTTTAGCTATTAATATTTCACTGTACGTTTATTTTCTTTAAACTACTACTAATAAGTTGTTTTGCAATAAATGTAACATGATGAAAGTAACATATAAAACATTGGATGTAATGCAATAAGAGGTTGTCTGCGCCGGCGCAGGCACGCCGCGCTAATTGCCTGGTCTCGCATTGCGCCGTCGCGCCGTTGTAAGTATGGAGTCACCTAATACAGTTATCTTTTGAACAAGCTCTGCGATTTTACTACGTAATTTTGATAATTATAATAGATTATACAATAAACTAGTACTTGATATTCTGTTTAACTTGTAATTGTTTTAATTCAAAGTACCTAGTTTAATATATAAATTACCGTCTGATAAACAAAACTGTTGGCATTCTGGTAAGTTGGCGTATATCTAGGATGATCCCCCCAACGTGCGTTCACCTTGTTGTGGTGGCGGGGCTCAGTAGTGCCCGGCAACCCAACCGGGCGCGAAGCCAAGAAACGCACATGGAGGTGGCCCACTTCGGTGGGCGGTGGGAGGTGGCCCTCTTCGGAGGGCGGTGTTCCATGCGGGTTGCTCCTGGTACTTTTCTGATAGCAGAGTGGACCTTGGAGCATCCCCCTGGTTGTTGTGGTCTGCTTCGGCAGACCTGCCGTCGGGGCGTCGTAGTTGAATGCGTAAGCGATCCTGCGACGCCCCATTAAGACGGGGGAAGGCTTTGTTGGGTTTTAGTGGGTGGTACTGGCTTTGCCGGTGAGTCCCACACCTCGTGCGTAAATGCAATTCCCAACGTTAAAAAAAATATCCAGGATGATCGTTAATATATTGATTTTTTACTAAATTCCATATTATAATGTAGAAAAAATGTTTTACAAAAATATAAGCAATATATTTACAAACTAATATAAATAATATAATATAATATCTTATATAAATACCAATACAAAAAATATATCTAAAAATAATAAATACTCTATCTTACCTAGGTGGGAATTTGGTTCTGCCAATCTGGTAACGAACAACCAGTGACCAGATTAACCCGAGGATTAATTTTAAATTTCCATTTACGATGTCCACGTTACCTTAAAAAAACGTAACCAATGAAATTTAAAAAAAAGTAGGAGACATTTATATATATATTTATTGAGAAAAAATCATTGAAAAATTAATAATAAAAATTATTTACCAATATTAACTAACTTAACACCATCATCCTCAATAGCTTGTAGAGCATTTGTAACATTTTCCAATTTATGGTGCTGGTTGGTTGGTTTAGGACTCCAACCTTTCAATCTTCGGCCCTGTAGAGCTTCCACCAGGGAGCACAGTACTGTTCCATCTCGAAGGTCTTCTACTAGATCATGAACCTATATGTACAATAAAAATAATTTCATCACATTCACATTTTATTACATTATGTATGTATGTGTATGTATAGTTGCATTAATTACTATGTCTAAAATCTTAAGTTTCAATTCCGAGCAGTGTAAATCTTATTAATTATACAAATGTACCACGCGAGAAGAGCTGAAGGCATTAACAATGAATAAAAATATATAAAAATAAACAGAGGCAAACAACACAGGTGTAGAAATTAGTACCAGTCACAAGTGCCATATGCCGTCATGCTTGTCGATTATTTCATCTACGAATGAACTCTGTAAAAGATATTTGAACTAGAATTATAATAACCACATTCGTCACGTTTCGTCACGTTATTGAGAATCAGATGCTTTGTCAAATTCCTATTTATTTAATATTGCTTTTAGAACGAAGTCTTTAATAATTGTTTTAACAATTTTTCTAACTGACCTTAATATTCATGGGCTTCAAGGTCTCGTTGACCCAGTTTTTAAAAGTGTTAGCTTGAATTTCAACCCATAAGTCCTCGTGGCCCTTTATAGCCATTGCTTTAGCTGCTGTGCCTTCAGGACTCCGTGCTGCGAGACCAGCCTGTGTTATCCTACTAGCTGAACCCTCGGGCGTATGTGCCTTTAAACCTTGATGCGTTACTCTAACCCCCTCCATTTTATAATGATTCAGTTTCTTATAACACAAATCATTAAAATCTTTTCTTCGATTTCAGTCCTTGCTTCGTTTACACCCAACATCTGGAAATATAAAATATATAGGTACCAAAAATAATTACATTATTTTATTATATAGTAATTGTGATATTACTTCCATAGGTACATATGGCTAGGCCCTAATATTTTGATCAAACCCTTATTTTTACCATATTTATTTCAAAATTCTTTGGCAATATTTTTCTAACATAGTATATTAGCATGTCGAGAGATAAATTCGCATGTTTATTTATTTAATACTCAGGGCGACCTCCGCGGTAATGTGTAAACCGTGTGCCTGTCAATGTCAGCGATGTGCGCTAAGAGTTTCTAGCAGATTGATGACGTATTGTCACTTTCCTCGTGATTGATGACACTTCAACACTTTTCAGTTTTTTAGTTACTATGAGTTGAAAATTCCTATCAAGGTTGGAATGAGTTTCTAACTACATCTAGACTGTTGGATGTTTTTAGTTAGAGCACATAGGTAGTTGTAAAGAAATGTGAATACAGTACAAACTCTAGCGGTTTTCTTGAGCTAATGATAATATTTCTAATAAATGGCTTATAAATAATAAAGATGCTGGTGAGTATTAACCTGAATACCTTAATGCCCCAAGTAATTAAGAACTAATGAGTTTCGAGATTTAATTCGTACTTTTAGAAATTATGATTCTCACAAGGGGACTAGAAACATATCCTTACATAATTGTTGTTCCGCTTAATTTTTATAGAGCCGTGTAAGTCTCTACGCTCTGCGGTGTATTTATTATAATTATTAAAAAATATTCCTTTTTGTGTCTTTGTGTCGTCATGTAAGCAGTAACTTTTGATCTATGTAAATAATCGACTATAAAAACTTAAAAAAAAAACTGACTTCCAGGCACTACTTAAAATACATACACATTCATATCTTAAAATATTGTCGGCTGGCACCTACTTCGAAAATATCTGATTAGGTATCTATTCTAAATGAAAACCCCCGTTTAGTTGTTTTTTACAATTAAAAATAAACTACTTTAAGTGTAATTTTAAGCAGCATGTATTTAATTATTAATATTAATAGTATTGACCAGCAGCTGTACATGTCGAGTTTTTTTTAGAAATAACAATAAACGTAAAAATATTTTTTTAATCATTAGTCCAGATATTGTTAAGTTCTATTTAATATATAAGTACGGTATCAAGGATCTTGTTTACAATACAGGGCAATCAAATGCTGTACAACGAACAAACTAGTACCTAATGTATTTCAATGAATTATTCCATTTAAATATCTAAAGCGCAAATAGAAAAGTCAATAACAGCTAAAAGGCCATGCAATAAATTGTGTTGTAGACTATTAAATAAGGCGAAAGATATAAAATCTTACATAAAACACTCATAGACTTAAAACAGGTGGGTCCGCACTTGAATTTCCCCTTTTAGGACTTCTTGTCAAAATCAATATTGCTGGTAAGTTCCCCTCTCCCCTCTAATTACGGAGACTGAAGCCGTGGAAATATTTACTTCAAATAAATTTATATATATTAAGAAACTCTTAACAAAATCCACTCTTCTGCAGATTACATGCGAAGAGCTTCTAATTAATTGAGAAAATTCTGTAAGGAATATTTTTCTTTTGTATATATTTACTCCACTGCGCGACGCAAAGGAGGGTAATGTGTCAATGAGGGTAATCTATGTACGGATGTATGTATGTTTGTTCCTATGTGGCGTTCTAGAGACCAAACTTGTAGGCCGATTTTGATGATTCGTACGTCATTAGATTCGTCTTGATAACGCGAGTGTCATAGGCTATATAAAAATAGTTAAAAAATAAAATCAAAGTCAATTTGTGGGTCTTTAAAAGAAATTCTTCTAAACCAATCGAGTGGGGTATCAAAATAAAGGTTTTTAAGAGGCGATCGTAAAAAATATACAACTCATTTATGCTTAAAAGTAATTTAGGATAAAAAATTGCTCAATATAATTCCATTTTGTCTAATTGGCAAACACTAAAAAACTGTAAACAAAAAAAAAATTATAAAACAAGTTGACGATACGAAATAAAGTATTATGCAGTCGGATATTTCCTTGTGATATTTCAATATTGAGTTGAAATTATTAAAATGAAATGATACTTAGATGATTTAGAGTCACTACTCTTTATTTCTTCAATCGTTTTTATTAAAATAAATATAACATATAAATATAACAATCTTATAAATCTATAACATATATAAATAAGCTTTACAGAAACAAAAGCTGGATACTTTTATACGACTAAATAATATTAGTCTTGTAGAAATATTTATTAGCTTCTACTACTTAAATACGCAATTGCACATATTATACAACGAGATTTAAAGTATATTTGCCGTTTCTGTGTACTTTACAATAAAACTTTAACAATTTCTCTGTACGATTGTACCAATATTAGATGCAATCTACCTCGGGCATTGCTATGAGACCTAAAGCTTAATTTTGTTTTTAATATTAAATGTATTTATGTCCGCGTGGGCAAGCTGTATAAATTGGTTCATCGATAAATATTAATGTGAATATTCTATTATGAAGTAGGTACTGTGGGTGGAGTGTTTGTTGAGACGTCAATGTAGCGTCATCTTTATTTTAGTTGATCATGATCATCAATCAATGATATTACTAAAAATATACATTATAATTATGGAATAAGTAATTATATTATATAAAGCGACTCACCCTCGCTTCGCTCGGGCTCGTCCCTGCCTTGATTCCCCATACAATCTTTCATCCCCATTTTCACCCCTTTAAGGGATGATTTCTGGGATAAAAAGTATCCTATGTCCTTCCCGGGGTCTCAAACTATCTTCTTACCAAATTTCATCTAAACCTCTTTATAATATTAGTATAGATAAATAATAATAACTATTAAATTATCCTTATATATTTTTTTAATAATAAAAATAATTAAAAGAACTAAAAATTAGCAGGATTCTCTGAAAAGTATAAAAATAACTAAGTACATACATATTCTGTGTTTCGTGTGTACACCGCGAGAGCTTTAATAAAAGCTATATTTGTAATTAAATATAATGTATGAGTTAAAAAGGCACAATAAATTTCTTATAATCAAATGGCATTTAAATTTTAAAAATATTTTTAGACAACGTTCTCATTATATATAACATTACGTTGTAAATATTTCAATTTTAATACAAATAAATTTAATTAGGTATCCACTACCTACTTTTAAATATCATACGTTTCATGAAAGTGTCCATTCCGTCTGTCCCTATGTAGATATGTGTTTTAATGCTACATATTATCTATACTAATATTATAAAGAGGAAAGATTTGATTTTTTGTTTGTTTATTTGTACTGAATAGGCTCCGAAACTACTGAACCGATTTAGATGAAATTTGGTAAGAAGATAGTTTGAGACCCTGGGAATGTCATAGGATTTATCCCGGAAATTATCCTTTTAGGGGGTGAAAACGGGGATGAAATTTTGTATAACGAATCTTATATTAAGATTTTATATGACGTACACTTCATGAATGTTACCTTATATGGTCTTCATATTGATAAGGAGGAATGTATGTTAAAATACTAATTAGTCATCTTAAACGTATAACTTGCCTTTGTACATTAACAGCAAACACTGTGACTCAACTGACAAGGCATGCATTTAAAGTTTATTACCTTATAAATCCATGTATAAAGCATCAATACTTTTTTGATGGACGCCAAAAAAAGGTAATAAATTCGGTTGTACAGATTTTTTTCGGTTTCTTCTTTGTATGTATATAAAGTTACTTACATCATTATATATTATAAAACAAATTCCTCTGCCGCGTCTGTCTGTCTGTTCGCGATGAACTCAAAAACTACTGCACCGATTTTCATGCTGTTTTCACCAATGAATAGAGTGGTTCTCGAGGAAGTTTTAGTATAAAATTTGTTAAGTTTTTGTATACATTGGCTAAAAATATAACGATATTTGTTGGAGGTATCGGAAAAAATAAGTCATCTGGGAACTTTCATCGAAAACGCTGAATAAACCCTTTGAGATAAAACAAAATAATGTATGGTGGAATTGTGTATCTTATATAGGTGTACGGAAAAGTCCGCGATGGCATATGTCTATCTCTTAAGGATAACATCCTACCTATATCCATTTTAATTTAAAACGTACCTAGGGACGAACCCGAACGAAGCGAGGGTGAGTCGCTAGTATGTATGTATAATAATTTAATAATTTTCATTTTTTTAAGTAATTTAATAATTTTCATAGGAAATAGGGGTAATGTAAACAAAATAGAATTGTTAAAATGTTTAGAATATTTGAATAAGCTAAAAGTTAATAAAATTGTAATGTTTACTTTACCTTACTGTAACAAGTTGCCACAACATGAAAATAATCTTAGATATAAGTATAATATGACATTGTACAATTCATGTACTTACAATTCGAAATTCAATGTTATTGATTTTAACAAATCATATGCTAATAAATATTATTATAAGTGGACTGATAGTAGGTATTCCCTACCATCTTTTATAAAACAACAGATAGCTATGTCGCTATCTTATTATTTTAAAACTTTAGCTAAGAATTTGGCTATACAAGAAGCTCCTATTGAGCTATGCAGTAGTAATAGTAATATTTTGAATGTACCACAGAGTACTTTAAACTACAAAAAAAGACAATAGAGATCTCCTCTAGCCCAATATTAACAGATAATAATATTTATTTAAAAAACAAAAAAGTATGTAATAGTATTCAATATATCAATCTGGTGCATCAGAATATTCAATGTTTGAGAGGTAAAATATTAGAAGTAGAATTATTTTTAAATAGTTTTGATATTAATATATTCTGTGTTACTGAACATTGGTTGAAAGTTCATGAAATCATGTTTAATTTCAGTAACCACCAGGTTGGTAGTACGTTTACCAGGGCGAATTCCATACATGGTGGCTCTTTAATAATACTGAACAAATTGTTGAAATATAAGGAACGTAAAGACATAGTGAGCCTCTCTGTTGAGCGTACAATTGAATTAGCATCAGTAGAGTT